TGTTCACCTACTCCTCAGGAAATGAGGCACAGCAAAATGTACTTTTAGTTATAGTTTGTTAGCTATTTTGCCTAAGAAAACCAGTGACTTGAAATTTAAAGAGGCGGTTCAATCATTAACAAAACTCTCCAGTCCAAAAACATCACTGTTCCACAAGCATTGGAAATGCATGAATCTCACCCACAGAGAAGACGAAGATAATATTACTTTTGCGAGTGTAGTCAATAAACACTGCGATGACTTCAAATTGGCAGAGTTAAGCGCCAATAATTTTAAATGCCTGATTTTCTTCCAGGGTTTGATTTCAGCGAAAGACGCCGAAATACGTCGTAAGGTACTCAACAAGCTTGAAAACGAGCCCGACGTTACTTTACAGCAAATTGCTGAAGATTGCAAACGTTTCGTGAGCAACAAAAATAACAATGGCGTCCGAGAGGATACGAAAAACATCGAACAGAATGGCGTGGCTCAAATTAAAAAAAAATAGGCCAAAGAAAAATTAAAAAGGGTTAATCAAAAAATAATAAAGTAACTTTGATGTTAAGACCATGTTTCGGGTGTGGTCAATTTCATTGTTATAGAGATTGTCCTTTTAAAGATAAAAATGTTTTAATTGCGATAAACTGGGACACTGCAAATGTTTCCACTGCAGGATTATGAATAAGACAAAAAAACTGTAAATTTGTAGCATCAGGAAATATATTGAAGTGCAAATATTTAAAAAATATAAGGCTACAGCTTGATTTGGGTTCAGGCTTATCCATAATTAATTATCAAACATGGAAAAAGCTGGGTAAGTTGACTTTGTTAAGAACTAACCGAATTGCTAAAAGTGTAACTGGCGACCCTATTAAGTTTATGGGCGAACTTATAACGAACGTGTCATTCAAAAGTAAAACTTTAACACTAAAGGCGTACATTATGAAGAATACTTGTAATTTGTTCAGGACTGATTGGTTAGAACAGTTTCAAACTTAGGGATATTTCCTATTAACTCATTATGTCAAAAAGTCGAAAATTTGGCTGTCGAAGCAGAAAAGTTGAAAGGTGAACTTAAAAAAAAAATCCGAAGTTTTCAGTGGAGGACTAGGAAAATGCACATTCATATCTGCTCATGGCGTATCAAATATAAACAAATGACGTCACACACTATGAAATGGACAAAGTCCGACGATTATTTTAAGATATTTTTATGTTTATACATTCTTTTTATAGATACAAATATTTAAGTAAATGCTCTGTTTATAATAAAACAACATTTACCGGCCTGAATGTCCGAGAAATTTTCATGAGCAGATATGAATGTACGTGAGAGATTCATGGAGGATTGAAGTTTAAATACAGTAAATTCGACCTTGCTCACCGAATGCCCCTTCGTGGCCGAATCGGTAAAGGCACGTCAAGCTATGACGGCTTCCGTATAGGATACAGGTTCGAATCCTGTCGAAGGACGAATATTTTCTATGAAAATTTCTTGGACATTCAGGCCAGTAAATGTTGTTTAATACTGTTTATTATAAACAGAGCATTTACTTAAATACTTGTATCTATAAAAAGAATGTATAAACATAAAAATGTCTTTAATATATATATATATATATATATATATATATATATATATATTTACAGACTACGATAAACCAAAGTATACATACTTCAGGAAAGTGAAAACTTGTCTTTCGTAGTTTTATCAGGTTGTGATTACACTGTTTAAATTGGTGGAACCTAAAGATGTTTATTTCAGAAAACCGACTACATTAGCTACCCTTAGAAATAAATTCAAAATGCATGTGCAGCAATCCCATTGGACACTTTAGGACACTTTAGCACACATTGAACATGCAGTTGTTGACTGCATTGATAAATCTCTGGAAGCGAAAAGCCACCATTTTCCGGATCTCTTCTGATTGTAGATTTCAAATGTAATTTGTATTAATCTCGTGATGCCTGAATAAATTTAGTATTACAATATTTATATAAGCTTTTCTTTACTTGAAATAGGTGCGTATACATTTTTCGAGGACTCTGTATACACACACACACAAAATATATATACACACACACATATATATGTGTGTATATATATATATATATATATGTGTGTGTGTGTGTGTATATATATATATATATATATATATATATATATATATATATATATATATATATATAATGTATAAGTGCGCAGGTATGCAGAAAATAGAAAAGAACACGCTGGGTGCATAATCCGGAGTTCCTTAATATTTTTGTTTTTATTTTTAAGAAGACAGTGCTCCATACAGAAGTAGAGCTTTATTATAATAATATTTTTTTGTTTAAAAATACGATTCCTTCGCTACATAAGAGTTCTCATGTTTCAAAAACGAGAGCCGAAACCATCCAAATAAATATTACAATTAAGTTGAATTGAGGTGTTTAGTCCCGTTTCATCCTCAAGCGAAATTTTAGGAATAAGCTATCTCTCGGTTTGCGTGTGTTTTTAGGCACGGTCCGTTACAGAATTCTTTATTGTGGGGGTGGCTAGACTATTTTTCTTCGTTAAGTGGTCAGAGAGTTAATTCTTATCAATAGATTCATCATCTTCAGAGAAGTTTGCTAAGGTTGGGTAGGGTATCTATTTCAAGGCTAATGTTTGCGGTCACCCCTTAGTTGGTTCCCAGTGAGGGATATTTTTATGACGCACCTACAAGTCGTTATGTGTCTGGAGAATTGTCTTTTATCATTGTCCATCTGATTATCTATTTATTTATTTGTTTATTCAAGTGGGTGTTTTATATACAAATCGTATTGCACTGAATTTCAATTTGTTTTTTTGCTTTTTTGACGATTACAAAAAGGAAATAATTAGCATAAAAAAAATCCCATAGCTAAATAAAAGTCTTAAAAGCTTAGCCAAATCATTAAATAGAAAAAACCCTTTTTGTAACACCCAGATACACCATATTTGATCTCATCTAAAGTGCTTTACAACATGGAATCCAGTGGGTGAGGCATCATCCATGCTTTGGACTTAATGGACAGAGAGTTACGATGCATGGTGCTCCCTGAATATTATGTGCTGATGGCCCTGAGCAGATTTTACTTGAATTTCATGTGTGCGTCGGGTTCGAATATTATAAAAAACGACCTCCGAATGAACACGGAGAGACCTATCGACAAAAATGTTCACAATTCATTGACAGTGAAAACAGGGAACAGCTTTTCAATATATTTATAGTCGTCAAAATGCTTATATTTACTTCTATTTCAACTGCCGACGGACTGACAGAAACGATATTTTGAAAATGGATTAGGGATAATTTCTCCAGGAATATGATGTGTGTTTAAATTATTCACATTAATAATAAATGGAATTCATTATTTGTAATTATTTCGTAGAAGTAAAGCCATTTTCCCATTTTGCTTCATTGCGAGAGTTTGGCTTCAAAGTATCGATTTTTTTTTCGGATTCTTCTAATGGCTGCTTGATTTTATTTAACCGCTTATCAAATTCAGTGTTTTATTTAATGCCGAAATCTAAATATTTTGAACACAATTTTATGGCTTCAACTAAATATATTTTCAACGCAATCGTATGCATTCAACTAAAATTAACATGTATTGTTAGTCATTTCACTATAAAATGTATTGTTGGTCATTTTGCCATAGTATTTATTGTTGGTAATTTACTATAAATATAATAAGTTTTTTTAAATATAAAAATGTTTTACATGCATTTTTCCAATAAAATATTTTTTTATACATTCATAGTGTATTTTTTGGTGTGTGGGGGTCATTATTTTTCCATTTTTAAAGATGGGATACCACACTGGGTCTGGGTTGTAGTGGGGAACAACTGCAATTATAAGCTGGTACCACACTCCACTAAACATCCAATCCCCCGCTCAGAGGTTTTGCTGCCGGATGTAGTTTATCGTCATATTGTTCGAAGAAAGATTTCATATCGATTGAGCAAGTCATTGTAGGATATAGTGAATTTATTATTTACACATCTGTTGCAAGAATACAGACACGTCTTCTCTTCTATGCAATAGGAAATATGAAACATAAAATTTAAACCGTCATTGGGTATGTTTATAAATTTCATCCACGTCCTGGGTAAGAAGATGACCTATATCCGACAGCAATGCCTCTGACCATCTATCTATCTATTTCTCTCTCTTCTCTGTCTGTCTGTCTGTCTGTCTCTTCTGTCTCTCTCTCTCTCTCTCTCTCTCTATATATATATATATATATATATATATATATATATATATATATATATATATATATATATCTTCTTCAAACCGAATTTACGCGCCCTGGTATGCTGATGAACTACATCAGCATCCTGTGTACGATAAACTACTTCTAACAGCAAAGTCTCTGATTGGAAGGTTTTCAGAAGCGTAGATCCACCTCTTAATTGCTGGTGTTCGCAGGTCCATCCAGACCCGGGTCGGTAGCACCTGTTAGGTAGGGCCCCAGCTATGGGCAAATAGTTAACCCCCACACTGGGGTCAAAACACTATGAAAGTATAAAAATAGGTTTGAATATCAACAATACTTTTTTTGCAAAATTATTATCAGCAATATATGTTTTAGTACCAGCAATAAATTTTTGTATAAAAAATTATTACCAGCAATACATTTTTGAAGAAAATAAATATTATCGGCAATAAATATTTGAAGGTAAACATATTACCAGCCAAACAAATCTTGTCAAGCATTAAATAACGCATTGAAGTTGATATGCCGTAAAACAAACCAAACCAAACTAAATCAAAATTTAAAGAATAATTGTTGCGTTTAATAAAACCTGAATTGAATTTATTGAAGGATTTCGGCCAAATTACACATTCCTTAAGGTTTTCATTACAATTTCTAATCCAATGTATTTATTTCTTTTTCAGGAACCACCATTTATCCAGAAGCGCAATTCCACAGACTCCCTTTTGGATGACCCAGTCATTACAAAAAACAACACTCGTTTGGAAGGTTTCTGTATAGACATCTTGAAAGCTATGTCCCGGCTCTTAAAATTTCAGTATACCATTTATTTGGCCCCAGATGGAAAGTATGGCAGCAAGAAAAAACATGGATGGACTGGAATGGTTCGTGAACTTATTGATAACGTAAGCTTCAGATTTTCTTTAAATTTTCGAAACATTTCAATTTACCTTTATGTAGAATATTAACACATTTTGTTGATTAACGTTGCAATGCAATCGATAACAGCATGGCTGAATCTAGACTACAGGATTGCGAAAAACTACGCCTTTTTGGCTACACGTTTTCTCCTGACATAAAGTTGAGCGATTATAACCAATCAATATCTGCATATACTGCAAGGAAAGGTGGTTCTTTTTTATCATGCCAGATAATGTTTTTCGTTAGAATCCGAAGAATGATCTGGAACGTAATCGATCCTGACTGGCATCTCGACTTCAGTCTCTTTCTAACTGGCGTGAATTGTTTTCCTTCTGTCATGTCTATAAATAATTCCATGGCAACAGATTTTTCCCTAGTGTTTCGACTTCTTGAAGTTAGACGCGCTACTAGATTGGCATATAGGTCCCACCCATTTATAATTGAAATAGCTAAATGCAAACGCCACTTTTCTCGTACTTCCCACCTGTGGAATTCCCTGCTGTTTACTAGCTTCCCAGATACGTACAATCTTCAAAATTTGAAAGGAACGTCAATTGCCATCTTCTATCATCTTGATAATCCTTCATGTTTTGTTCTTTCCTTAATCCGCCATATTATTAGTTTTCCCTTCATTTTCGCTCCTTGTAACACACTTAGAAATATTTCCGCCTTTTACTTAGGGTGAGATGGTTAAAAGAAGAAAAAAACACCCTAGAGAACGATATTCAAAAATAAATTCCTTTTAATTATTATTATGCTCAAAAGAAATGAAAAAAGTGTATTACTGATCGTTATAATTTTCCCCGTAAATAAATATGGCGGCGTATGAAGCGGTTAGAAATGAAATGCAATAGCGATAAATTAATCTGTAACGATTACAGGTAGGAGCCACAATGGCCTAAACGAGTAAATCTTGGAGGTTTCCAAGGAAGATTTTACTCCTGTGCCGTATCCCTTCAAAACGTTAGCGATTACGGCTCTCCATAACTTCCTGTCTTTATAGTTCTTAATAAATTCTGTCTTTTTAAACTCTCCTAAAACGCGTTCCGCCATCTATTTACTCAATAGATTGGGTAAGCATTGTTTTCCTTTGTCCCTCTTGAAAGCAGTCTGTACTGTGCGTATCAAATCTACCAAGCCTTCTTTTCTCATCAGATGCCCTAGAGGTTTTAATTATTTTTCTTGGTGTTAAGTATAAGTCATTTTTGTTCCTATTTTCCCCATAACTTCGTCATTGCTCGGCCCATGTTACTATCATCATCCTTCATGAGACCCCCAATTCTGTTGTTTCAATTTTCTTCTTCATTTGTGAGGAGATTGTCCTGCATTTCCTACCATATATGAAGACTGATATTACATAACACTTCAGTACTCTTTTCTTTGTTACTCACGAGATATTTATTTATTTTAATACTGTGCTTAACTTTTGGAAGGCATCTTTTGCCAATGCAAATCGCTTTTGGATGACAGCGTCGCTCTTTCCATCATCCATTAAAACATTTCCGAGAATCCTAATTAATTTCACATGTCGAAATTATTATGCATCTTTTCATCCATGGCGCTTATTGATATCTGGAAAATAAAAACCATAAGATATTTATGGATTAAGGGATGGGCACTTTATCGACCCCCCATATATATATATATATATATATATATATATATATATATGTATATTCAAACATTTTGGGTTGAGTAATACAGAGAAATTTCCGAATTAGTTGTTTTATATAAGCGGTAAATTTACTAATGTTCCCCCAAGATTAGCCAAAGATTGTTGCAAAACTGAAATCTTTGAAAAGTAATGTAGAAACGTTCGAAATTACTCGAGAAAAATATATAATAAAAATGAACTTTGGTAAATTTGCCGATTATATAAAACAAATAATTCGGAATTCTGCTATACTTAGATATAGCTTGTCGATATAATTCAATGAAACATGTTTGAAAGAATTCTTGCTACTTAAATAGACCTTATTTAGCCATCGGTTTGAACGCTCGCTTTTCGACCATGAGAACCGATTTCGAATTTCTCCATGGTCGATTTGCGAGGAACGTGAATTCTTGATGTTATTCACCTGGTGAACCGATCCCATGGTACGACACTTTTGGAAAGTGCCGGAAAACCATACCACGAGTGTAACCAAGGGACATTGGTTAAACAACCATTTGGGCACCGTCGATGGTTGAGTTAGCAGGAAGCACAGGCATTGTTGAAATTGTTGATCACGGAAGATAATGCGTTATCTCCCAGAAACTGTAAATAATGTCGGCTCGGCATAATTTCAGTATAAAACACAGGTGGGTTCTGTAGTTGTCTAACAAGTACAAACAAATGTGCCTGAGCCGGCGTCTGCAACATGGATTGGCTAGACATTGGAATCATTCATACAAAAAGTAAATTGATAAAGTAAATGATAAAAATGGCGAAATCCCTTCGCCAACAAAATTTTAAACATGCATTAACGTACTCATCACTCGATGAATGTTATGATCCTTGTTTTTTTTTTTAAATTATAAGCTGTATAAGGTCTTTCTTAAATACGCAAGTACTTTCGACTGTACATTCAGTCATCTTCAGGCATGGAACTTGTTTTGTTTTTGGTAAAATTCAGGTAGCATCCGAGACGAAATAATACAATGCGAATCGAATTTTTTTTTTAAATGTGTTATTGATAACGGATACAAATTTTTGGAGGGTGCAGTCACAGCGTTAAGGTTGAATTTTTTTGAAAATTTAAGTGAGTGCATTTTAAGAATTTTTTTTTGTGGCAGGAATTAAATAGTTTAATATGTAGAGTAATGTCTCATTTGGTATTCCGAAAATTTGCACGTAGGATCAGTTCTTTTAAATCAAATAGGTGGTGCATTTCAATTATTATTACAATAAATCAGCCATACAACAAGTAAATTAGTGAATATTTTCAGAATTGGACATTGAAGTCAACACCCAAAGGCTCAACAATCTGTTTCATGCTTAAACACAATTGTCAGTCCCTGTGTTATGTTTTTACACGACTATTTTAATATTTGCTGGGCGGCAATAGTTATGTTTCGAATTGTACTAGGAACTATTGGGTGGAAATAATTGTGGATCTGTATGCAGTTTTTTACTATAGTGTTGATTGTTAACTTTTATATTTATTAGTGATTATTTTATTGTTGGTTGTTATTATTATCTTTATGCTACGTTTATCTGTATCTGTTTCATGCTTAAACATAGTCGTCAGTCCCTATGTGTTATGTTTTTACTCGACTGTTTTTATATGGAGGTTAGTGATGCATTTTTAGTAATCTCTTTATGTTTCTAAATATTGTTTGGTGGCGGGGCGGCAACTGTTATGATTCGAATTGTTCTAGGAACTATTGGGTGGAAATAATTGTGGATCCGTATGCAGGTTTTTTTTTACTATATATAGTGTTAACTTTTATATTTATAAGGGTCTATTTTATTGTTCGGTGTTATTATTATGATTACGTTATGTTTATCTGTTTCGTCGTGGTTTGTTAATTTCTTTATTATTCATATAGTTGTATTCCCTGTATATACCTATCAAGAATTTTGCTTTGTTACGTCTTTTTTGAAGGTATCGATTCTGCTTTTAGTTATATATACTTTCCTTTTGTACTCTTAATTAACCGATCTCTTGTACTTTTAATGTTTGTTATTATCCCGAAATTTCGATCCTTCTAAAATTCGACATTCATGAAATACCTGTAGTATTTGATAGTGAACTTAAAATTTCAAATCGAACACTTTTTTTTTAATTCCAGTGTTAGAGGATTTCATATGTGGTTTATGGCAGTTGGCGTCTTGCAATTTTTAATTTTTTTTCCTTTATATTTTAACTTTAACACCCAATAGGATTATAATTTGATTACATATTAATTTTCTTGGACTTGTGTCCTCATCATGGTTGCTATCGTCATTATCTTTCGACCAATGTAATGTTTCAACATTCCTGGGGATAAAGATGAGAAGAAACTGCACCAGAGAGAGACAAGAATGTAAAACCACCTTATCTCAAAGGGATATGTTCTAATTCCAGTTGGATTAACTTAAAAAATCTCGGACACTTGACGAAGACGTTGTAGTACAATGGCTATAGCGTTGTGACGATAACAATCGCAACTGAGGTAAATTTAACAACTCAGTCAGTCTATATTAAGCATTATGAATCATTTAAGAAAGTCATATTCAAAGAGAATTTCAAAGAGAACATATGCTTACTTACATTATTTACATTATTCGGATTGTTAACCTCATCTTCATTGCTATACTCACAACGTTTCGGCTTCTGTATTTCTGAGATGAGATATTATGATTATTTGCATTATTTATATTATTCGGACTGTTGTCCTCATCACTGATATATTCACAACATTTCAGCCTCTCTATCTCTGAGATGAGGTATTATGATTATTTACATTATTCGGACAGCTATTCCTATCTACATTGTCATATTCACAACGTTTCAGCCATTTTACGCTCAGGCCTTCTTCAGCTGATTGGAATTTCGAACCGGACCCTTTATTTCGTCCAGCGCGGTAGATTGTTCTAGTTCCACGTGCCATGCCTCTTCTGGATGTCTCAGTTATTTAATTCAACTCTCCATGTTTTTGTTCACCACTGCTGTGTCTTGGTATTGAACTCACAACTCTTTGGATCTTGTCACTGGATCTAACCAACGTCAAAAGGACAAAAGGAGGGAAACATTCTTACATGATCCATTTGGTTCCTAGAAGTAACCTAGTTTGAAAATATTCTTTCTAGTGACGAAATTCAGAAGTTCTTTTTCTATTTTGTCATTAAATATATTTTGATATCAATATTTTTATAATGTCTTCCATAAATTATTAACCTATTTTCTTTGTGCATGGAAATGTTGACAACATTGAATTTATTGTTGAGTAAAGAGGAGAAAAGAATCGTATATCGTAAAGTATTGAGCGAAGATACGTATACGATATATCTGCAAATCTT